GGTTCAGGGTCCAAGGATGCCAGGGAATCTTTGGTTTAGGTTTCAGGGTTCAGGGTTCAAGGTGTTGGGTACCAGGTTTAGGGCTGCCCTACCGCAACCCTAAACCCTAGGAATTCAGGAGGACGAAGGTTGGTAGTGTTTATAGACTTCAGGGCCCAAAGAGAGCCCTGTTTGTAGGGGGTAGCGTTGGGCTCCCAGGGCAGTGGTTGAAGTTGGGGTACCGCAGTCTGGAGTCTGGGATTGGAGTTTTTGCGCACAGCTTCATGTCAGCATGCCAAATTTTCACAGCTTGTTTTGAGCAGACCGAGTAGACTATGTATCTTCTGGCGGTTCGCAGGGACTCAGGGAAGCTACTTTCAATATACTTTTTTCCATAGTCCCCACTAGCCCCAAGTACGGTATGGGTTATAGTTTCCCTTAAGTAGATAGAACATGGGGTATATGGGGATCTTATTGCAAAATACCCGATGCCATACTATGTACTTGAGGGGGACTATAACTTTCAGGAGGTTCTTGCCCCCTGGCGGCCTAATTCGTTTGCTCCAAAAGAGCCGGTTGACAGGCAGCCTGCGAAGGTGAAATCACGCATAAGGCAACCTTAGGGGGACTGTTGTAGAGTTTAGGGTTTAGGGTTTTTAGGGTGCAGGGTTTACGAGGACAGCTGCAGAACAGAACAAGATGAGATTTTTCCTCATTGCGGTGTGGGCACATTTTCTTTGCGGACCTGCCAAATATCTCCCTCCTCTGAGCCTAGCAGGGTCCTCTAAACGGGGATATAGGGTTATATAGGGGGTGTACAGGGATCCGTAAGGATTTTAAGGGTTTCCATATCCCTTCGCGTCAAGATGCACCTTTGACCCTCGAAGGAGCAAGCGGAAGGTGCATTGTTGACACGAAGGATGTAGTGCATTTGACTCCGACACCGAGGGCCCCAGACGTGCATGCTGACATTAACTGGGCTATGCAGCATTTCGACATCTGGAGCAGAACGGACTTTACGGAAGCATTCAACATTCCCTCCACTGCGACACAAGTTCTTGTGCTTACCGATGGGGAAGATTTCATGGTTGACTTCAGCCCTGGTGAAAGTGATGAGGACCTGATCCAGCGCATCTGTACAGAAATTGGTTTGGATAGTGAAGGAGTCGGCATTGTTCGACCTACTAAGCCCTTCAACAAGCCCACTCATTACCACCATGTGCTGTCTGACATTGTTTATCTTGTCGAGATATATAATCTTGTCGAGATATATATATATATATACACATGTATATATGTATCTATTTATCTTTATGACCGCTTGTGACACTAATTGCTGGCCGGAGACGATGATCCCCATTCTACGTAAATCTAACCCAAAGCTCCAGGGTTCAGGGTTTAGGTTTAGGATTTAGGCTTTAGGGTTGATGGTTTAAGGTATCTATATCTCCTTGCATCTTTCTTTCACAGGGACCTTATTCTCCGACTGCGTTTTCACCATGCCTATATGTGCTGATGCAAGCCCTTAAAGGGAGCTTACTCTAGGTACCTCTGCCCTGAACCCTAAACCTTAAGCCCTAAGCCCGAAACCCTGAGCCTTAAGTCCCTAACCCTAACCTCTAAACACCAAGCCCTTCGCCCTAACCCTAAGCCTAAACCCTAAACCCGAAGCCCTAAACCCTGGACCCTCTTCACCAGCCTAGGATGCGGCGAAGTCAGCGGGGCTGTCGGACAGACAGGCCCTCGCGAGCTTTGTAGGGTGGTTTATGGTTATTTAGGCTTATTTAGGGTTGTTCAGGGTTAAGGGTTTACCTAAACCCTAAACCCTAAACCCCTAAACCCATTAGGGCGTAGGGGTTTAGGGTTTAGGGCTCGGGGTTGAGGCTTTGGGGTTTAGGGCCAAGGGTTTTAGGGTTTACGGCTCGGGGCTTAGGGTGTGGGGTTTAGGGCTTGGTGTTTAGGATTTACATAGGGTTTATGGTTTTTGTTTGCGTCGTTTTTGTAGGGTTTGCTTAAACCCTGGAGAACCCCTGTGTAATCCTTCAAAATTGGGCTATATATAGCCTGAGCCTCCAAGACCCTAAACCTTAAAACCCTAAAACCCTAAACCCTAAAACCCTAAACCCTCAAACTCTAAACCCCAAACCCTAAACCTAAAATCCTAAAATCCCAAAACCTTAAGCCCAAAAACCCTAAAACCCTAAAGCCGGATAAGCCCTGCAAAGGTTGCCAAGGTCAAGACCGCCTTGGCGTCGGTGGATCACAGGCTGGAATGTGGGCTATTCTGAGTTTACCGTCTAAAGTCCTTAAAGGGGATTTAGGGTTTAGGGTTTAGTTATACAGGGGATTATGATATCGGGTTTACGGTTTTACAGCCTGGGGGAGCTGGCGTAGTTGCCACAAGCATTTGGCAGTGATTTAGGCCAATGTGGTAGTTGTTGGTTTATGTGCATTCCTTGGGTACTGCCCCCACTCATGAACAGATGTATTTTATCTATCAATCCCCTGTACCCAAAGCAAAGACATATCTATATGTATAGCTCTTAGTATGACCCCTCATATAAACTGTTAATGGGCGGTGGCAGGCCCAAACCTAAACCCGAAACTCCCTAGACCCTGAACCTTAAATCATGTCGTTTTAGGTTTACACGTATTTGAAAGTCCATCAGCTGATGGACAACATCCTGCATGATCTTATGAATTCTCCGTGGATGTCTTGAAGATATGTGGGGCTCAAGGGTTTAGGGCTTAGGTTTGGGGGCTCTTAAACGGACACTGGGGCTATATGGGGTGTGGGGGGGTGTCATGTTTTGCTTACAAAAGATCCCACAAAACCCTGTACAATTAATGTTTGGGAGGATCTCAGGGCAAATTCCGTACTGACGTACCGCAGTTAAGAGTCTTCAGATGTTGACGGCCATGCGCTGTTTGGCCACTTGCCGTAGCGCATGTTGGTCAAGTCTCCCTGTCTATAGCAGGAACGGCCACAGCACACCTGAGATTAGGTTAAGAACCAATTCTTATGGTAGTCTCCTGATCTGTTCATTTGTTCATTTTGACGTTCTTGCTGAAGTACACGCTGTGGGAGAATTATGGTGTTCGACACCTTGGAGATTTGGCGGGTCTGGTTTGGCCCGGGCGCGTTTTCAAAAGTTGTGCGGTTCACTTCACCCTGGACCCTAATTAAACCCCCTCCCCTAGTAGCAGATACTCTCAACATATGGGCGGCGCCTGAAGCCCAGAGCCCTAAACCCCAAACCTTATGCCCCAAACCATAAACCCTAAGCCTCAAACCCTAACCGCTGAGCCCTAAACCCTAACAGCGTGGGGTCGGTGGGGAGGTAGGGCCTTTGCAAGCCGAGCGGTTTAGAGTTTAGGGTTTAAGGGTTTAGGGTTTAGGTGTTGAAGTCGATTCCTTGACCAACGCTTCTGCCACCATTCTCTGTCTAAGGTTTTTGCTAAGCCAATCGAAGGACTTTAAACTTCTTGGTCTTCCTGTTTGGGTGTCTATAATGAAGTCTAAACTTTTGTAGTCCTGGTTATTGGGGAAGAAAGAGTTTAGGGTTTACTACTATTCGGGGCTCTAGAAGGTCTGGGGGTAATATGACCACTGTTATTACCTGTCATTAACAGTAAAAAACGAATGTCGTGGCTTCGAATGTCGTTGGTGTTGAAGCACTTATAGTCCCCCTTAAGTAGATAGAATATGGCTTTGGGTATTATTAGAATAAAATCCCCATATACCCCATATTCTATCTACTTAAGGGGGACTATAGTCCAACCAGCCACGGCAGCAGCAACTAGTTCTTGTGGATGCGGGGGTACTGTTTTGTCGGCTTATAGCTCGCAAAGGCTTGATTACATCGAAGACTATAGGAAGAACATGTGAGCTATAGTCTACAGTCCTTGAAGGGGGGGTATATAGTGGATTAGAAAGGAAATAAGTATAGGGGCTATTAAGGGGGATACTAGGAGTTTAGACTGTAGCTCATGTGTTGTAAGCCATCCGGCTATAGACCCCTAAGCCCTCGATAACAGAGGGCCCAACACTCTTCAGGAATTACGTGGCCATCTTGAACGTCATGAAGGCGGCGAGCAATGCGAGCCGACCGGAGCTGTCTACGGCGGAGAAGGCTTCTTGGGTTTCTCTGGTTCAGGGGCGGCCAGGGTTTAGGGTTCAATTGAAACTACCCTAAATCTTATAAGATTTAGGGTTTAGGGTTTAGTTGCGGTCTTGGGCATTGGGTTCAGATCCAGGGTATTGGGTTTAGGGGTTAAATAGTCTTTGAGGGATATGTAGGTGTTTTCTGGTGATCTTAAATGGGGATAGAAAGGGTTCAGTTTGTTAGATATCTAGAGTAAGTTAGCATAGGCCTTTTCCATTTTGTTAATAGTACCGACTAGCCACCCCCTTAGCCCGAAACACAACCCTAAAAATCCATATTCCCAATACTTCAATACTTTCCTACCCCCATCAAGCCCGAACCATTCCAGTACCCTCCAACATACAACATAGTTTCATCCAGACCCCACCCCACTCGCGCCATTGACCTTGGAATCCACCTGCCCAAGCTCACCAGTCCTTATATCCCAGACTGCGTAAGCTAGACCAATTTTTGGGACGACCTGGCCAACGCGGCGCCGACGAAGCTGACAAGGACGGACTGATCACAACTGTGTGTTAATTGTTTGGTGTTGAGCTGCAGTAAACACGATCGTATCTTGCTTCTTCCCCAGTCGTTCACGTCGACGTTTCGCCCTCTCAATGTTATCTTTCTCCAGTTGGGGCACCCTGTCAATATCGTTTCTTCCTAAAGTTGTCCACTCGTGTAGCCGGTAGACTTGCAGGTAAAGCTGCCAGATTCAGTGTAAGTTCTCCGGCCTGCATTCAGCAGTGTATCGGCTCCAACCGGTACACGTTGCACAGCCCCTGCGTCCGATCTTGCCAAATGTCAAGTATGTTGCTGGGGGCAAAGGATGAAGAGCTGAGCAGGCCGTTGCTTGACAGCAGCGGTGCGAAGCGATGGTGCCATAAGGGTACGTGTTTGGGTGTGGCTTTGGCAATGGTCATTGCTTGCACTGTTGGTGTGGCATTGGCGCAGCAGCCCTTGCTCAATTCCTCAATCAAGAAGAAGTTGGTGATGCTTGTTGCCATGCAGGACAAGTCAAGCATGGTCCATGGAACTGACTACGGCTACGGGAATTCTTCAGACTTTCCAAAATCGCGTCCTTGGGTTTACGAGAACTTCCAGGAGTGCATGTTTGAGTTCTGGTTCTGGGCGCCCTTCATGTCAACCTTTTCAAGCAGCGTATACAAAAACGAACAAAGGCTTTGTTATTGTGCCTATATCAATAGCACATCGGCTGCGGATGCTCAACACCGCAGCAAGATAGTTAGCTGGTGTGTGGAGGACTATCAAGGGAACAGTCATGGAGCTGAAATCTGCTTCGCAGACGTTTGTCCGAGCGCAGTCCAGAAGTGCACGGACCCCCCCTGCTTCTAATAGCCTAAAACTAAGCTACCTTAACATCCTTAGGCGTAGGCCGGGGGTAAAGCAGGGGATCCGTTGTGGCGACCAACGAGGGAGTGAGCTCCAGTGTTAGAGAAAAGTGTGCCGCGTGGGTTTCCCCGAACCCCCTATGCCGGGGTTGCCTCTAACCCCTAGGTTCAGGGCTGCCCTAACCCCTTCGGAAGCCCCTGTAGGAGTGCCTGTCGAGTGCTCTGCATGCTTCCCCCGTCCCGGGCTACCCAACCCCTAGGGCTTTCAGGGCACCCTTTTTGGCCCGGTTTTGCTAACCCCTAGGCGCCCTATCCTCTCCCCGCCCGATTTCCCGAACCCCTAGTCCCCCTGCGCTGCCCCTTCTTCGATACATCAGTAAGAGATTTCAAGTTATTGACCAGCTGGTGCTTGCGGGGGCTCTCGTTCGCACAGACACAGTTCCGAGCTTTTGAACCGTCCAGGCTTTCACCAACTCTCGCCTTGGCTCGTGGGAAAAGACCTGCGCTGAACATTCATGCCCTCCTCCCTGCCATCCCACTAGCGTCTCTAGCCCTGGGCTCATACCTTCTTTGACTGAATCACACGTCTCCGCGAACTCCAGCGCAGTATCACCGCCCACCGAACTCAACACCGCACCAGCGCGAACTCAACATCACACCGGTGTGATGTTGGCTTCCCCCGTGCAGTCCCCTCATCTCCTGTCCCTGGCAACCCGCCCTGCCTCAGGAGGATCCTCTTCTTCGTCTACAACGCCGAGCCCGACAAGCAGATCCAGTGCTACCACTACAAGTGCCTTAGGTGGTTCGGCTTTATTAGGAGTACTTTTTAAAACACGTAAAACAAAAATCCAACAAAACATACACCCAACGTTTTGTATTAGAAAGCTTATGAAGCAGACAAAACGCCAAAAAAAATAACAA